TTTTTCTCCCATCCTAACTGGGATGAAATTGACCAAACATGCAATCAAGATGTGATAATTATCACTGGTGACTGGAATGCAAAAGTTGGAAATAAAGAAGAATCACCAGTAGTTGGAAAATTTGGCCTTGGAGATAGAAATAATGCTGGAGATCACACGATAGAATTGTGCAAGACCAACAACATATTCATTGCAAATACCTGTTTTCAACAATACAAACAGCAACTATACACATGGACTTCACCAGAATCAGGCATCAGATCGACTACATCCATGGCAAGAGACAATGGAGAAGCTCAGTATCTTCAGCCAAAACAAGACCAGGAGCTGATTGTGGAACAGACCACCAACTGCTCATATGCAAGTTCAAGTGTTCAAGTTGAAGGTGAAGACAATTAAAAGAAATCCACAAGAGCCAGAATATGACCTTGAATATATCCCTTCTGAATTTAGAGACCATCTAAAGAATAGATTTGTTGCATTGAACACCAGTGATCGAAAACCAGAGGAATTGTGGGATGACATCAAGAACATCATCCATGAAGAAAGCAAGAGGTCATTAAAAAGACAAGAAAAGAAGAAAAGACCAAAATGGATGTCAGAAGAGACTCTGAAACTTGCCCTTGAATGGAGAGTAACTAAAGCAAAGGGAAGAGATGACAAGATAAAAGAGCTGAACAGATTTCAAAGAGCAGCTCAAGAAGACACAGTCAATTATTATAATGAAATGTGCAAAGACATGGAGTTAGAAAATCAAAAGGGAAGAACACGCTCAGCATTTCTCAAGCTGAAAGAACTGAAGAGGAAATTTAAGCCTCAAGTTGCAATATTGAAAGATTCTATGGGCAATGTATTGAATGATGCAAGAAACATCAAAAGAAGATGGAAGGAATACACAGAGTCACTGCACCAAAATGAACTGGTCAATATTCATCCATTTCAGGAGGTGGCATATGATCAAGAACCAATGGAACTGAAGGAAGAAGTTGAAGCTGCACTGAGGGAAGTGGCAAAAACAAGGCTCCAGGAATTGACGGGATACCCATTGAGATGTTTCAACAAACGGGTGCTGCACTAGAGGCACTCACTCGGCTATGCCAAGAGATGTGGAAGACAGCTACCTGGCCAAATGCCTGAAAGAGATCCATATTTGTACCCATTCGAAAGAAAGGTGACCCCACAAAATGTGGAAATTATCGAACAATATCATTAATATCGCATGCAAGTAAAATCTTACTGAAGATAATAGAAAAACGGTTGCAGCAGTATATTGACAGAGAACTTCCAGAAATGCAAGCTGGATTCAGAAGAGGATGTGAAATGAGGGATATCATTGCTGATGTCAGATGGATCTTGGCTCAAAGCAAAGAATACCAGAAAGATGTTTTATTGACTATCCAGAAGCATTCGACAGTGTGGACCATAAGGAATTATGGATAACAGTGAGAAGAATTGGAATTCCAGAACACTTAATTATGCTCATAAGGAACATATCCATAGACCAGGAGGCTGTCATTCAAACAGAACAAGGGGATACTGCAGAGTTTAAAATCAGGAAGCGAGTGCGTCAGGGTTGTATCCTTTTACCACACATATTCAATCTGTATGCTGAACAAATAATCCGTGAAGCTGGACTATATGAAGAAGAACATGGCATCAGGATTGGAGGAAAGCTCATTAACAACCTGAGATATACAGATAACACAACATTGTTTGCTGAAAGTGAGGATGACTTGTAGCACTGCCTGATGGAGATTGAAGACTAAAGCCTGCAGTATGGATTACACTTCAACATAAAGAAAACAAAAATCCTTACAACTGGCCAAAAAGCAGCATCACAATAAATTGAGTAAAGATTGAAGTTGTCAAAGATTTCATATTACTTGGTTCCACAATCAACACCAATGGAAGCAGCAGTCAAGACATCAGAAGACGTATAGCATTGGGCAAATCTGCTGCAAAAGGACCTCTTTCAAGTGCTTAAAAGCAAAGATATCTCCTTGAAGACTAAGGTGCACTTGACACAAGCCATGATATTTTCAATCTGCTCATATGCATATGAGAGCTGGATAATGAAAAATGAAGACCAGAGAAGAGTCGATGGTTTTGAGTTGTTGTATTGGTGAAAAGTGCTGAAAGTACCATGGACGGCTGAAAGAACTAACAAATCTGTCCTGGAAGAAGTGCAGCCACAGTGGTCCTTGGAAGCAAGAATGGCCAAACGTCATCTCCCCTACTTTGGTCATGTTGGAAGAAGGGACCGTTCCCTGGAGAAGGATATCATGCTTGGCAAAGTGGAGGGTCAACAAAAAAGGGGAAGGCCCTCAGTGAGATGGGTTAACACAGTGGCTGCAGCGAGGGGCTCAGGATCATGGAGCTGGCACAGGCCTGGGCAGTGTTTTGTTCCGCTGCAGATGAGGTCTCTGAGTTGGAGATGACTTGATGGCACCTAACAACAACAACAACTGGGACCTTCTAATGTGTCCCTAGTCAGAACCATTGGTGGCCAGGCACCATGTACTTCTTCTGGTCTCAATGTGGAAGAGGCCATGGCTCGTGTGGGCCATTAGTCCTATGGACCCTTTTCTGCCTTGAGTCTTTGGTCCCCTTCTCCAGGTAATAAGTAGAGGACAACAGTTGTATCCTACGTGGCTCTTCTCCAGCTTTTAGAACCTCGGGCACTGCTCACCAAGCCTGGGTGTAGAACATTGTCTTTGTAAACCATGTTATCCCACGAGATCGTGGCCCCACGCCCATCAACCCAGTCAGCCAGTTCTGGGAGCATTTGGATCTGTCTAGGGAGTCCCTGTTGGGAGCTCTGGTAGCATAGTGCCTAAGGCACTTGACTGCTAACCAGAAGGCTGGCGGTTCAAACCCACCAGCCACTCCTCGGAAGGAAGGTTGGGCAATCCTACTTCCGTAGTGATACTGCCTCGGAAACCCAAGGAGGGGTCGCTATGAGTCGGGGCCGACTCAACAGCAAATAACAACAACAACAACAGGGAGTCCCTGTTAGGGTGCCCCCATGTGCTTTTATCTGTCATCCATGGATGTATGTGCAGCACATGCAAACATGTATCTCCATTGCCTGTGGATACACCTGTGTCTACACACGAGGCACACATATATGCCCTTCCCATCGACATAGCTTCACACATTTGTACCTGTGTAACCACACTCACGTTTTTGGTTGTTGTCACTGTCGTTGCAAGATCAACTATGTATGGCATTTATGGAGGTGATGCTTTTTCTTGTGTTCTTCTTGGTGTCTTCAGTGGCCTGTTGGGTTTGTGGGGACTTCCCTGTGTTTGGTATTGTCTTTCCCATCAGCAGATGTAACCAGTGTGCTTTCTAGAAAGTGATTCCCCTCCTCTCCCCTCTCATCCCTGGTAGCCATCAAAGACCATCTCTTTCTATGCATATATATGTCTACTCCCAGCTTTCTATAATAGTGGGACCATCCCATATTTGTCCTTTTGTGAGTTGCTTGTTTCACTCAGCATAATGTCCTTCATAGGAGCTCTGGTAGCATTAGTGCCTAAGGCACTTGACTGCTAACCAGAAGGCCGGTGGTTCAAACCCCCCAGCCACTCCTCAGAAGGAAGGTTGGGCAACCTACTTCCGTACTAATACCGCCTGGGAGGAGTCCAACTCGACGGCATATAACAACAACAACACAATGTCCTTCAGGTTCATCCATGCTGTAGGGTATCATGTGGACTCCACACAGTATTCCCTGTGTGTGTGAACCACACACTCAGTGGACTTTAAAAACAGGGTAAGGTTTCTGACGGGAAACAGCCTTAATACACACCCCGTGCTGGTTGTTTTGCACACATACTGTGCACACAGGGTGTGGGGTTATAATAACCTGTGTTAGAAGTGTGGATGCTGAGGCTGGGAGAAAAGGAGGCCTGGCCACCCAGTAGCAGCACAGAGGTACGAACTTCTAAGTCAAAAGTCCCTCCTGGCAGATTGCCCAGATCCTGGCAGACCTGGTGTCTGCCATGTGTGGCATCTCTCCCACCCCACACTCGGAGCTCTGTTTCCACGATGTCTCCACCTGAACTGAGGACCAGCGTGGTGGAGTTGCTTTCAACTGCTGCGCCCCCATGTGGTCAGAGTAGAACCGGGCTCCCCGGGGCTTCGGGGGCTGGTATTTTGGAAGTCCATTGCCAGGCCTTTCTGCTGAGGCCCCGCTGGCTGGACTCAAACTTCCAACCTTTCGTTCTCAGCCCATTGTACCACCCTGGGAATGCCCAGAACTTAACGGGGTTCAGAATGACCCTTGTGATATAAGGGAAGGGGAGGGCTCAGACAGTATAGGAGAAGCCTTCTTTTCTTTCCTGCGGACTTTGCCCTCTGCTGAAAAGTCAGGAGGTGGGTCCCCTTCACACCCCAGACCACGCAGGACAGTGGTGCGAGAGAAGCAGTGGTGCCAGCCCGGACAGTGGGTGAGGCAGGCAGAGCAAGGGACCACGGGCTAAACAGAGCTACAGCGCCTGCCGGACTGCCATGTCTGGGCTGGTGCCACTGTCCCGCATTGTGTCAGCCACTGTCCTCATGAAGACAGGTGTTGTGGACAGTTGTTGACTAACTAAAACAGAGTCAGCACTTGGAGGGGGGACTGGCTGAGGTCAGTGGAACTCAAGGAGGGGCGGTTCGCAGAGCCTTGGAAGTTGGCAGTGCGCTCAGTGCGCCAACCTTTCACCACGCTGTTGCTGCCGCGTGCCGCCAAGTCGGCTCTGACCCATAGCGACCCTGTGTCCCACAGAACGCAACACCGCCCGGTCCTCTGCCAGCGTCACAATCCTCGCCGCGCCTGAGCCCATCGCTGCAGCCACTGTGTCAGCCCATCGCGTTGAGGCCCTTCCCCTTTTTCCCTGACCCTCCACTTTACCGTGTGTGGCGTCCTTCTCCAGGGACCAGGCACCACACTGAGTGTTGTTTTTATTCCTGCACTTAGCCGTGTTTTTATTTCCCCGTCTTCTGCTTTTCAGTACCATTTAAGACAACAGGACGCGGGCCTGAGAGCCCACCTGGACCAGGTGGGTCAGCAGATCAGTGAGCTGCAGCTGGGCGTGTGCCGGGGCGCCAGTGAGGCCCCGGATGGCGACAGCCGGCCCAGCTCAGGTACGCACTGGTACCCGGGGGGCATGGTGCCCAGAAGACGCCCAGAACACACAGTGCCCACACCACCACAGGAGTCTGGCTTGGGGGGGACCCAGCACCCGTGGGACCACAGGGCCCCATGGAGAGGGGATCCAGTGTCCATAACCACAGGGCCCCAGTCCAGGGATGGGGCCCAGCACCCATGGGACCACAGGGGCCCGTCTAGGGAATGGTACCCAACACCCTCGGGATCACAGGGGCCCGGTCCAGAGGGGATCCAGGACCCACCAGCACAGGGCCCCTGCCTGGGGTTCAATGGACCGTTTGCCAAGCATGGGCCCGAGGCGTGGTTGGCTTTATGGAGGC